GTGTAATAACAGTTTTATCTACTACAGCCCCGCATTACACGTTAGCTCCACAGGCCTTGTTCATCTTGTAGCTGACAGTTTGTAGCCTTTCACCAACCCCTTCCTATTCCCACCCCCCACCTCCCCTCAACCCCTGGCAGCCAACCACTTTTCTCCTCTCTGTTTCTATGAGTTGGTTTTTTCTGCTTTTTGCTTGTTGTTCATTCCAAGAATTTCCTTGAAATCTCCGTAGGACAGTGTTGTGTCATGAGAGAGGAACCGGATTTACAGGCACTGAAGAAGCTGGTTTGTATTGTTAAGGGACTGAGCTGGCCCAAAGAATAGAAATAATATTCCATCTTTGAGAATAATGAGCTTTGCTTTGGGGTCACAGACAAAGTATAGGGAGCCTTGTGTAGCGCAAAGAATAGCAGTTTTGTTAGACCGTCTGGGTGGGTCCTGGATCCCTTTCTTATAAACCGTTATACAAATTGATGAACTTCTTTGATCCTCAGTTTTCTTATGCATGCCCTGGGGACAATGAGAAGGGCCCTGACACATGGGGAAGGGACAGGAATGAACAACAAATCAGGAAACGTATGTGAACAGGGAACGACAGAGCCCTACAGAAAGGTAGCGTGTTACTGACATCGCTGGGCCTCGGTTTCCTCACTTCTTAAAGGGGATATTAGGCCAGTGTCTGAGGTTGCTTTCAGTCCTGAGGTTGCCAGCTTAGTGAGGGCACAGCGGGTCTGCTTATATTATAAGGAGCATGCCCTGGCCCCCTAACTTGCAATGCATTAATGGGGAACAGCAGAGAACCAAGATGAAGGAGATAGTGTCTACCCTCAAAGTGGCTCACAACATAAAGATGGGCAAATAAATAAATTAACCCCAGTAGGAAGTGAGGGCAGAGGGTGGGACGTGCGGAGCCGCATGTGCAGGAGGAAGTAAAGGGCAGACTGAACACACAACCGCCTTTCTCTGGGTTCCATATTGGGTCAGTCCTAAGGCTTTCGATCTCAGCATCTCAGACTGGCACATGGGCGGGGGGCGGGTGGGTTGGACATTCGGTTTTTCAACTCCCTCTTGGTGGCACTGGAAGCTATGAGTTACACAGCAGGAAGGAAGGATGCAGGCCTTCTGACCGCATCCCAGCAGTGAAATCCTAGGTGCCACACTTGCTCGGCTTCTCAGGTAAGAGGGCAGGTTAAGTGTCTTACTCAGAGTCAAGGAATCAGGAAGTACTTCAGAGTCACGTGGGTGGGTTCTTAGGGAAACTCTAGTCCACTGTGAGCAGTAGAAGCTCCCGGGAGGAGCGCTCCTTTATTCCTATGAAGCTGTCTTCTCCAAACCCTCTTCCTGCTCTGCGTCATCTAATGCACCTTTCTAACCTTGACCACA